GTTAAACTAGTTGTGGTGGCTCAGTGCATAAGGCTTCAAATTCCAGATCAGAAGACTGGGTGGTTAAAGCCCAGCACTGCCATGGTTGGGTTCTTGAGTAAGACCTTTATCCTTCAGGTCAGCTGCATCAAGTGTAAGTGTTTACTGGCAACCCTGTAACAATTCAATTTCATTTCATAATAATTATGAACAAATTACGTGATAATCACAATAGAAAACCACTACTAAAAGTTTGAATTTTGATTCTTGTGGTAGCAGCACACACACACACACACACACGCACATATATATATATATATATATATATATATATATATATATATATAAAAGGAAGAAAGGGCAAGGCAATGGAGAGACTTTGACACTGCCTGAGATATGTGCTATTGTTCCTGAGAAAGACGAAAACGACATTTAGGGCATCATATTCAACGAGCAAGCAGTATTTAACATTAATAGACATAAAGTATTTAGAGGAAAATAATCATTTTAGAAACCTGAGCAACAATACAACAAATTTGGAGTAGTTTTAACAAACACTACATGTACATGTATCCATCCATCAGCTAAAAATTAATTAAACTACCAAAAGCATTTTAAGAACAAAGTTTAAGAGCAAATCATAACAGCTGTCTACTACTGATCTCACAAAAAAAACCCATCAGAATTGTAACAAGTGAAAGCAATTTTATTAAATTTACTATGCAGGAAGTTGTAAGAAAAAGTATGTATGTTTTCCCTGCCTATTAGTCTAATCTTACCAGTTGTGTAACTGGTAGCTTTTTAGTTGCTTTGTGCAAATTCTCACAAATTTACAATCATGAGACAATACTAGTGTCACACCGCGGTTTCCATAGTAACCAGGCAGGCAGAACTCGGGTATGGTGTGTACATTAGCGCTCGCCTGTTTGATTGTGTGCAGAATCCCTGCAGCAGGTCATCATGTCCATTACACACACACGGCACACAGCCTGAACCGCAGCTCTCTGTCATCCTATAGTCCAGGCTGGCATAAAAAAAAAAAAAAAAAAAGATGCTCAGTGACAATACACAAATGTACACACAGGCCACGAGAAATGAAATGAAGGAAAAGGCAGATAAATGTGTTTGCACACTTTTCTGTGCCATGATAAAGGTTTTGTTTGAGAACAGAGCAGAGGAGGTATTCACCCTGGCACTGAGAATTGAATTTGAGATATTTTGGTGAATATATTGGCAGTGATGCAAGCATTCTTTGCAATGAACCAATGCTGTGGTTCTAAATTAAAGTTTAATAGTGTCTTGAAAGAGGGAGAAGAAGCAAGAAGTGAAACTGATGGAAGTGGACAAGGAGACAGACTACACTGGGAAACCAACAAACATTGATCCTCCACTTGATTGGAAATAGCTGTAAACCAGAGATGCTTTTCAGAACATATCTATTTAGATAATATCTCACAGCTGTGACTTTTGTGTCTCGCTTTTGTGAGTTACTGTGACCTAGAGCCTGTCAGCAACATTTCAGACAAAATTTCAGACTTGTTTTGCGATTCTGCTGAAGCTGGGGTTCAAATCCTGGGTCATTATCAGGCTGGAAAAACCTCCCGGGCTCTGCTGTAGACATACAACAAGGAAGTACGGAGGACTCTTCTGACAGACATGAGCTTCCGAGCCTTAAAATCAGAGATTTGAGTTGAGCTGCCACATGAGTGTCTTTTACAACTGGTAAGTCGTTAAACAATATGATATACAGATGTATTATTTTGCATATTTACGGCACTGTTTTATTTATTTTCGTTGTAAATTGTGTAAAAAGCACGTGTATGGCTGTTTATCGAAGTGCAGTTTGATGCGTTCTTTGCTGCTGTTTATCAGCATTTTTTAACTGCACTAATAATAAAATCACCTAAAAATAGTGATGTCCTGAATCAGTTTTTTGTGAAAAGTTGATAAGTCAAGTACTTTTTTAAAAAAAAAGAAATTACTCAGTGGTCACACAACCCCTAGTCTAATGAGCTCCCAAACATCATTGTTCGTTCAGCTGCTCCTGTTAGGGGTCGCTACAGCAGGTCGTTGGTACACATGTGCAATTTGGCACAAGTTTTACGCCAGATGCACTTCCTGGTACAACCCTCCAATTTTATCCAGGTTTGGGACCAGCACTGAGAGTACACTCATAGTGGCTGGATTGGGTCCCTATCCAGGAATCGAACCCAGGCCACAGTGGCAAGAACATGGTATCCTTAGCCACTAGACCACCAGGGACCTAAAAATTTCAGAAAATCTCAGGTTCAGAAAAGTGAGCATGTTCTGATATTATTTTTGAGATGCTGTAGAAAGTAGTTTTTAGAGATCTTGTTGAAGCTCAAACCTTGGCATGTTTGTCGCATCAGTCTCCCATCTCTTCACCTGAAAAAAGTGTTATGTTTTTCACTGTCTATTTTTTTAAATAAATGTGATTAAAGTAACCCCCTAGAAAAGGCTTGATGCCGATCATGTATGGATCATGACACAGTGTTGTCCCATTCCCCAATCCCTATAGAAGAACATCAATCAGTTCAGGTGATCAGTTCATCTGCTCACACAGTGTGCAGTGCTGCAGGTTGAGCAACAGGTGGTGCTCTTCTCCTTGTGGCTCTAAGCAGCGCTCGTGGCTGATGTTTGCAGTGGGATAGCAGCCTCAGGAATGACCAGACAGACAAGCCAAACAGTCGAGGTATGCTGAACACAATCCTGAGCGATAAGGCTCCAGGAACAGAAATGAGATCTCCTGATGATCTAGAAAATAAGAAGATGGACAAGTAGACATGAGTCAAGGCAATTTTACTTGTGGTGAAAATGTTTTGTCACACATCAGCTAGACTGACTTACTACTACAACATTTTAATGTACCTGATATAACAGGAAACCATGGATGACTGGAAAACCTTCAAGACAAGTCCAAACCAGTGTTTTTGACACATAGATGATGCTTTAGCACTGAGCCCAGGTACACTGACAACTTGCTCAAGTATTTTTAGTTTTTATCCCCTTAATTTCCTACAGTAAAACATACTTATATAGTGTAAATTCACCTGGACTATATCATGGGTGGGAGGTCTGTATTATTTCTGCTTGCACCCATAGTCTACTCCTTACTTGAGCTAAGAGTTCTGCAAGAGAGAGAGAGAGGGAGAGAGCTGAGACTGTGGAGGAGGGAGAGAAGAGATAGAAAATTGAGAATGGTAGGTAGCAGACCCCATTGAGTTGATGCAGATAATGAGGGGAAAAGTACTCTTAGTCTTGGTTATTTCTGATATCTGTCATCTATTGGTCAACTGTAAAAATATACAGTATATTAAACATATGGGAAGAAAGCAAGCTGGTGGAGGCAGTGTGATGTTCTGGGCAATGTTCTGCTGGGAAACATTGGGTCCTGGCGTTCATGTGGATGTTACTTTGACACGTACCACCTACCTAAACACTGTTGCAGACCAAGTACACCCCTTCATGGCAACGGTATTCCCTAATGGCAGTGGCGTCTTTCAGCAGGATAATGTACCCTGACACGCTGCAAAAATTGTTCAGGAATGGTTTGAGGAACATGACGAAGAGTTCAAGGTGTTGACTTGGCCTCCAAATTCCCCAGATCTCAACCCAATTGAGCATCTGTGGGATATACTGGACAAACAAGTCTGATCCATTGAGACCCCACCTCGCAAATTACAGGACTTAAAGGATCTGCTGTTAACGTCTTGGTGCCAGATACCACAGCACACCTTCAGAGGTCTTGTGGAGTCCATGCCTCGATGGGTCAGAGCTGTTTTGGTGGCACAAGGGGGACCTACACAATATTAGGAAGGTGGTTTGGCTGATGTTATGGCTGATGGACATATATTTTATTATGCACAGGTAGAAATAGGTACATGGGTACAAACCTGTGAAATGTCAAATGCTTATATGAATGCTTTATGCTTTTGGATTTGAGATCAACCACAGTGCAAACATTAAAGCAGGTTGTCCTCTTACCAGGTGGACTGAGTTGGGCCCTGCAGCCATCTTCACTGCAAAGCGAAGCTTCTGGATCCAGGCCCACGTGGCCACAGTCTCTTGGGTAGGACGTGGAGGGTGAATAAATCTATGAAACTGCAGAGTAATGTATATCTTAGTGGAGGGGTGCAGTCCTGGGACATAGTTCGTAGTGCGACAGGAGGGGAGGAAGTCAGGAAACTCATCCGCTCCCCGCACCAGCCGTACACCCCCGAGATCTGGTCCACGCGACATGCACTATTCTCTGCTTTGTTGTTACACAGGATATTATATTACCTGACAAACAGCTGACACACTGTACAGGGCTATACAGAAAAGATCATGAAAACCAAACTACAACCACAGAAAAGTGAAACAAGTCAGTATTTCACAGACAGAGGAAATGTCATGAGATACTGATTTGCTACAAAATCTGTGGTTACACATTGTATGGTTATAACTCAATCATCCTGCTCTCTTCTCCCTTCTTCGCTGTTCATACCCAAGTCCAGTAAACAGGAAACGTTCTAGACACACCAGTCAAAATCACCAGGGGCATGAGGGACAGAGCTGGGCATGCCACTGAATACTAGACATGATGGGCAGTCAGAAAGGAATCATTTGACGTGCATGTAAACGTAGTCACTGATGTACCAAGATGAGTCTGATTACTGTTTCTGGTTTTGATTCTCTGGTTTGTTTATCTCATTTTGTGATTTTTGTCTTGACAATCACTGTAACACTTCTTGTATGTGGGTTTTGGGTGAATCTTAGGTGCCTCTTTCAGGAAATTGAATTTAATAGTAATTTTATATGGACAACCCTACTTTATTTCAATGTATTTAATGCTTGTGTGCTTTACATATTAATCACAGCTAAGAAGTGAATAATTATAATGGAAGGTCGTCCATATAAAATTACTATTAAATTCAATTTCCTGAAAGATTCACCCACAATTCCTTGCAGACTGAGCATGCACATGTATCTCCTTTCAGTGGAGTTTCTGAATAAGGTGTTTACATGCAACAGATTTCCAATTGCAACAGGCATAAAAAAAAAAAAACAGGGGTGAGAATCAGAATTTTAGGAATCAGGATATTATCTTAATCCGAATTCGGGCAATCAGATTATGGCGTTTACATGACTGAATACTGATTAGAATATTGCCAAATTCTGATTAAATATCAGAATATCGATGTGCATGTAAACATATTAAGTGTGTGTGTCAGTGTATGTGTGTCTGAGTCCAGGTGTGTATGCTTAGTAATCAGGTGACTGTGAATGTGACATTGAACGTGATGTGTGTTTGTTGTAGTCCCGGGAGTCCATGTTTGTATTTCGCAGTGCAGTCTGGGATATGGAGTTTGAACCTGATTCCGGCGTAGACATGACAAGTGAAAACAGATACAGTAACGTCCAGTATGATTCCAACCTTCATGAAAATAAGCGAACATTAATATATAAAAAGAATAACACATGTAGTAAGTGATATTTTAAGCTCAAACATACATGGATATTATATATTTCTGGCTCCCGTACAAATAATATTTTACATATTGAGCACTGGGTCTCTTCCTGTAATGTCTAACAAGTAGAGGGATAATGGTCCACTTCTCCATGTAGAACATTTTAGTCGAGTTCAAATCAGGACACTTGAGATGGTTATGCAAAACATGGAGTTTGTGTTTCTTTAACCATTTCTGTGTTGATTTGGAAGTATGTTCGACTCATCATATTGTTCGAAGCTCTATCTACAGCCAAGTTTGAACCTCCTGGCAGAGGTAACCAGTTTTGCTAGTGAAATATCCTGGCACTTCATAAAATCCACTGAACACTGCTCCCAGGGGGCCGCAGCAAAAAAGGCTGCCCACTGCTCCGGGTGTGTGTTCACGGTGTGTGTGTGTGTTCACTACTGTGTGTGTGCACTTGGATGGGTTAAATGCAGAGCACAAATTCCAAGTATGGGTCACCATACTTTTGGCCACAAGTCACTTCACTTCACTTCAACTACACGCCACAAAACAAAGCATCCATGATCCATCTTATTTTACAGTTGTGCTTTCTGCATATGCTTTCTATAAACATGTAGATGTTCTGCATGACCTTCTGGTTTCATCTGACTGCAACACACAATATCATTTGTAGCTCTAATGACGCTTGGTGAAGTGCAGACGCTCTCAGGAAGGGCTTCTTTCTTGCAACACGACCAAACAGCTTGTTGTAATGAATGTGGTGTTTACTAGGTGACATTGAAACTTGACAAACAGAAGAATCAAACTTATGTGTAATTCTTAACTACAACAATACAATATAAGTTTTTAAGCATGACTTTTTGTTTGCATTATTGCCACATATAATTTTGAGAGAAAATACTTAAAAAAGTATTGAAGAAAGTATTTATTTTAAAAAAAAGCAGTTCTAAGGATGATGATGTTTTTTGTTAGAACATACATTAGTGGAGAATTTGAATTACTGTGTGATTTTTTTATAATAATATATAGAATTCCGAATGATGATCAATAATTCTGAAGGACACATTATATTACTGGATGTATCCCAAGTAGAAGTATCTTTTCATTTCTTAACTTGGGAAGAGTGAAGAGTTGTAGTCTGTGAACTGAAGTGGTTTTGTTTTTGTAGATATTTGAGGTGAGTTTGTGGTTTCATTTCATTTTTCAGTTAATGACTGATGCTATAGTAGGAACCCTAAATACACACAAATGGCATTCAAGCATTTTAGGACCTAGTCCTGAAATTTAGTTGGTCCTCATTGCACTTATTAATTAAAGCGCTCTCTCACTCTCCGTGGTAATTTCCACCTGTTCTTTTAGTCGTCTCACCTCTTTCTCCATTCAAGGCCCTTAGAGGGGTTGGAGAACAGAGCAAGGAAACTCAGGCTGTAGCAAACACCACACACACACACTCTCACATGCACACACAGATGCTCATTATTATACTAGTGAGCATTCCTACGCCTGAATGCTCAATTGCACAAACAATCAAAACAAGTACAGGACTGTTTATTGTGCTTCCATTCGCAGTGTTCGTGTGCATTGTCACTGACACTTGTTTTGCATGTAGGCGAAGTTTATTGAGGAAGAAAAACTCCAAACTTTCAAAACAGGACAAAGGCATTAAAGATCAGATCCTCTTTTTAAAAGTGTGACACGGATGTTTAAAGAGGAAGCTTTTAAATGAGATGACTGTGGATGGTACCACATAGAAACCATGAAGACTGCAATTGCCACAGTTTTGCA